TGGCAAGGGAGAGGCTGGTGTCTCCACCTCCCCACCCCCTTGCAGATGGATGTAGCTCACAGAAGGGGATGTTTGTTTCCCCACCACCCACCCTTTGGTGACATCACATCAGGGCAGCCAATGGTCAAGGTTCCCCTCCTCTTCCTCCCTATTCCTTTTTCCTCCCAGCCCAAGGCTGGGTCTGAGCAGGCAGACCAGGAGCTCTAGAGGTGTCTGAAAGTTCAACGGTAAGGAATATTCAACTGACCAGTCCTCTCTGGACTAGGCTGAGTGGAGGTGGGAACAGAACCCAGGGTTCTTGGAGGGTTAAGAATGCAGAGTGGTGCCGGGCGTGGTGGCATATGCCTTTAATCTCAGCACTTGGGAGGCAGAGGCAGAGGCAGGAGGATCTCTGTGAGTTTGAGGCCAGCCTGGTCTGCATAAGGAGCTCCAGACCTGTCTCAAACAGACCAAAAAAAAAAAAAAGAATGCAGAGTGGTACAGGACTTAAATTTATTTGGTTCTAGGCTCTGGGTTCAAATCCTATCTCCCACTCCCACCCCTGTTTTTGAGACAGGATCTCATACGGCTTCAAATTTATGCAGCCAAATATAACCTTGAACTCCTGTTCCTCCTACCTTCACTTCCCAAGTGCTGGGATTATAGGCATGCACCAGCTGGGTTTATGGGATACTAGAGATCAAATCCAGGGCCTCATGCATGCTGGCAAGTGCTCTACCAACTGGGCTATGACACCCCTAACCCTTCTTTTAGTTTTTTGAAACAGAATTTCAGGGTCTTTTTATATAACCCAGGCTGGCCTTGAACTCCTTGAAATCTTCCTGCCTTAGTCTCATGAGTCCTGGGATTACAGGTGTATGTCAACCATACAGGTAGGACACTTCAACCTTTGTATCCACTTTCTCAACTGTAAGATGGGCAGATGGAAGTCTGCTTACAGAGCTGGTGGTGAATTGTTGGGATAGGCTTCGTGGGCTTTTAAAGTTGGTGCTGGAGAGGTGGCGCTGATCCTGTTGGCGGGAAGCTAGACTTAAGGGGGAGTTGGTGCCTCACCCACAATTCTCCTTTGGTTGCTGTGTTACAAAGTCTGGCTGGATATGGCAGCCAGGTTTGGTAACACATGCCTGTAATCCTAGCACTTAGAAGGTAGATACCGGAAGATCAGGAGTTTGAGGTCATCTTCAGCTATACAAGGAGTTTGAGGCTAGCCTTGGCTACAGCAGACACTGTCTCAAATAACAGAGCCGAATCTGAGATTCTGAGATGCACAGGCCCCTCTCTATATATTTCTTGTTGCTGTCAGAGACTTGTTTATAGTAATTGAGCACTTACTGTATAATAGGAATATCAATGTACCTATTGTTTCATAAATCTTTAAAGCACTGTGTGTGTTCTGTGTAGTGTGTGTGTGTTGTCTCTGTGTGTGTGTGTGTGTGTGTGTGTGTGTGTAGTGGGGGGTGTCTGTGTTTTGTTAAACTCTGTGCAAAACAGGGCTTTACTTTGTATCACAGTCTGGCTCTGATCTCACTGTTTAGCCCAGGCTTGCCCCCAGCTCACAATCCTTCTGTCTCAGCCTCCCAAGTGCTGGGATTACAGGCCAGTGCCAGCATGCCCACAAAGCTACTTTGATTGGCTACATGTTTTTTTTTTTTTTTTGGTCTTTTTGAGACAGGGTCTCCCTGTAGCCCCAGCTGTCCTGGAACTCACTATGTAGACCAGGCTGGCCTTGAACTCACAGAAATCTTCCTGCCTCTGCCTCCCGAGTGCTGGGATTAAAGGCATGCGCCACCACACCTGGCCTGATTGGCTACATTTTACAGGTGAAGAAACTGAGGACCCAGAGGAGAAGGACCTTGTATCGTACTCAGTTCTAGAAAGTTCCTGAGCAGGGACTAATCGAAGCAGTCACAGACTATACTGCCCTGGTACACACACACACACACACACACACATGCATACACACACCACTACTATATGGCCTCAGAGAGTGTCCAGGGGCCAGGTCTGGCTCACATTGTCAAGGGCAGATGATCACAGGTGCTGAGGAAGTCAAGACTGAGCAGGCAAAATTCAACATGAGGTCCACAGCAGCCCTTGGGGAGGGGAGAGCCAGTAAGTAGGAAAGAACATTCAGTGGGGCCCTGAAAGGATCACAATGAGACACCTGCCTCCAAGCCATGCTAAGGGCACGGATGGCATCTAAGATGGATGAAGAGATCTGGGTCTGGTGCCAGCTTTAAGGCCATGCCAGCTTTAAGGCCAGTCTGGGTAACTTAGTGAGACCCTGTCTCAAGATGAAAGGGAGAAAGAGAACTGGGATGGGATGGGGATAAAGCTCAGTTGGTAGAGTGCTTGCCTGGCATGTAGGAGACCATGGTTTCAATCCCCAGCACCCCCATAAAACTGGGTGTGGTGGTGCACATGCCTGTAATCCTAGCATGGGGGGAAATAGAAGCAGGAGGGTCAGGAGTTCAAGGTCAGAGGGAGTTTGAGGCCAGCTTGGGTTACATGTGACCTTGTCTCAAAAAAAAAAAAAAAAAAAAACAACTGAGGCTGGGATGCAGCTCAGTAGTAGAGTGCTTTCGTAGCACTAGCACGAACAAGGCCCTGCGTTCAATCCTCAGCATTGGAAAAATTAGGACATTTCAGTTTTAGATTTTAGCACATAGTAAATGTTCAAGAAATGGAGTTCCTGAGAATTCTGGAAGCTCAGACATATGCTAGGGCAGTGCCTTGAGAAATGGGCCGTTGGCATCTGGAAGGTTCTGCCTGGCTATAATTCACCAGGGTACCCCACTCCTGTTTCCTGTGATACAGTCCAGGGACTATCAGGGATCCCCCCCCCCCATTTTCCTACCTAGTGTGATGGGCAGGTCTGGGAACAAAGAGTGCCTGGGTCAGGGTGGGTTTCCTTCGGAAGCTGCCCTCACCCCAGCCCAGGAGCTGGGCATGTCACTCAGGAAGGGCTCAGTGAGCTAAATATAGCTTGGGCTGGGCAGCTGTTCCGGGCACCGATGAGGAAGGAGGGCACTGTCTTGCTCCTGCTCTGCCCAGACTTCCTGTGTCAGGTCCTGGGTGTGGCTTTGTTGCCTGGGCCTTGAGCAAGGAAAATATGGCCTAGGACATCCTTCCTAACATTTGCCACCATGACAGGCCCAAGCTCCCCACTGATCCCAATCGGGATGCTTGTAACTTTTTACACCTGGCTTTGCTTGTTTTTGTTTTTAAATTTTATTATTACTGTGTGTGTATGCAGGTAGCCCATGTCTCTGTAGCCCCAGCTGGCCTGAACTTGCTATGTAGACTAGGCTGGTCTCGATCTCACAAATCCACCTGCCTCTGCCTCCCCAGTGTTGGGATTGGAGGCATGAGCCACTATGCTCGGCTCATGTATTCTTGAAACAGGGTCTCCTGTAGCCCAGGCTGCCTTTCAACTCACAATCTGGTCTCAATTTTCTGAGTGCTAGGATTACAGGATTGTACCACCATGCCCCGTTTATGACTTTCTGTCTCTAATCTTTACTCATCAGCAAAATTGGGCTAAGTAGCCCATAGGGCTAAGTAGGCCAGGTCTGGCACTAATAAGGTCCCTGTGGAATTTACTGTCTGGACTCTGCCCACCCCAGCTCCTGTCACAGTAGTTTTGCAGCTGGAGGCCTCCCCATTACAAGCTAGACAGAGTAGGGGTCAAAGGCATATGTCTTTACTCTGCTGCATCCTAGCTATGTGACCCTGCACAGGTCACTTCTCTGTGAGCCTTCGTTTCCATCCCTGTAACAGCACAGTTGGCGATTTCTAGGTCTATGGTTGGCAAACACAGGATGGGGTTATCAGGAAAGGCAGCCTAAGAGAGATCTTCAGTCTGCTTGTAGGAGCTGGGGGCTCACAAGGGAGGCTGGGCATGGACATGGAGTCAAGGACCCCTGGAAGATGAGGACAGGAGCCCTCCAACACTGAGGGGCCAGGCATATGAGTATGTCTGAGAAGCTTGTGTGTTCCAGCCAGAGGGGGCCTAAATGTAATGTTTTTCAGACAGGGTCTCATGTAGCTGGCCTGAAATTTGCTATGTAGCCATGGATGGCTTTGATTTTCTGGTCTTCCTGCCTTCACCTACCAAGGGCTGGGATTACAGGTGTGAACCACCTTGCCTGGTTAATGTGGTGCTGGGGAATTGAACCCAGGCCTTTGTGCCTGCCGGGCAAGCATTCTACCAACTGAACTATATCCTCAGCCCCAGTGGTGGGCTATGAAGGGCTATTGTGTGGCAGTGGGTGGGTGGGCAGGGGCAGAATGTGACTGGCACAGCAGATGGGCTATTGTCTGAGGGAATGCGCCGCGTGCGCCTGACCTTTCCATATGCAGTAGTGGTTGGCGGGCTGGCATGCCAGGTGGGGGCCAAGTGCAGGGACAGTCTCCACCTCCGTGCCCTCAGAAGGGCCTGGCAGGAGGCTATCTGCTCAATGCCTTCTTCTAGGACCGTGTGCCACACACAGGGCAAGTTCTCCTGGTCTCTCTGAGGGGACAGGTTTTCAGAGACGAGGTAGGTGTCTGGTAACTGGGATGAGTGGTATACACCTGTAATCTCAGCACTCAGGAGGCTGAGCCAGGAGGATCAGCAGTCCAAGGTTACTCTTGGCTATGTAGCAACTTTCATGCCAGCCGATGCTATCTGAGACCCTGTCTCTGAAAACAAAACAAGTGCTGGGTATATAGTGCTGGGTATATATAGTTGGTAGAGTGCTTGCCTTTAATGCACAAAGTCCTGGGTTTGATGTCCCAGCAGGGAATAACCAGACACGGTAAGATTACAAGCAAACACTACCAGGCTAGGCTCTGTACTTGCCCTCTTGAGATAAGGTCTTGTTCTGCAGCCCAGGCTGGCCTGGAGCTCAATATATAGCACTTGGGAACAAAGCAGTGGCAGAATGGGTATAGGGAGGGTCTGGCACTCAGCCACCAGAGACATGAAGTGATAATGCTGTGTGTGTTATTCTTCCTAGAGTCCCGGAACCAGGAGGCTCAAGGAGCTGGTGGTGATCCTCAGGTGAGCATTGGCTGGTGCCACTCGACCTTCTCTGTCCTTCCTGGGCTTTCCTGGAGTCTCATGTCCCTTGGTCTCTCCCTGGCAGGCAGAAAGATCCCAGGGGAAGAGCAAGATCCCTGCCTATGGTGGTGCAGCACCTGGAGTCGGGCTCCTATTAGGAGAGCAGACCAGTACCCAAGTGAGAGAGGACAGCCAGGGTGGGGCCCTGTCCTCCACCCCAATTCCTTCCTTGCCTCAAGCGTCCATCTTGTACCCTCAGGCTCAGGGGCAGCTGCTCCATGAGGAACTGAAGCTAGTCTTGCAGCAGAAACAGGAGAGGAAGGAGCCGGAGGCAATTCCCTGGAGAGCCATGGAGGCCAGAAGCCGGAGTGCTGAGGTAGGTGCCCACAGAGTAGGGCGGCAAGGAGGCACGTCCTGGCCTTTCTGTGCCTCAGTCTCTCCATCAGATTGTTTCTATTATTTGTTTGTTAGAACAGGATCTCCCTGCAGTCCCAGCTAGCCTGGAACTCGCTATGTAGACCAGGCTGGCCTCAATTGCACAGAGATCCGCCTCCTGCCTCTGCCTCCTGTGTGCTGGGATTAAAGGGCTGTGCACCATGCCGGGCTCAGTCTCTCCCATCTGTAAGCTAGAAATAGTGAGTGTGAGGAGGAAAATTTAACATGTAAAATGCTTCGTGTAATTTACAGATGAGTACACTTGTCACCTCAGTTCTCAGGAGGCTGAGGCAGGAGGATCACCAGGTCGAGGCCAGACTAGGCTACAGAGTTGAGGCCCTGTCTCAAAACATAAAAAAATTCCTGACACAAACTAAAACTCAAAAACCAGCCAATTCACTGGATCGTGAAGAATTGAATTAATAGTGAGTGCCAGGCCTAGGGGAACAGGCCTGTAATTTAAGCACTTGGAAAGGTGAAGCAGGAGGATCACAAGGTCAAGGCCAGTCTGGGCAACTTAGTGAGACTCTGTCTCAAAAAAGTAAAAAGTAGGCTGGGGATATTGCTCAGTGATAAAATATTTGCCTAACATTTACAAAGCCCTCAGTTCAATCCCCAGTACCTAATAATATATACGTCATCATCACAATAAAGCTAAAGAAACTCGGCAGAGGGGCTGGCTAGATAGCTCAGCAGGTAAAGGCACTTGCTGCCAAGCTTGATGACCCAGTACCCACATGGTGGAAGGGCAGAATTGACTCCCGCAAGTTGTTTTCTGAACTCCACATGCACGCTATGGCACATACATACCCACACACATACCACAAACACACACACAGATAAATGAATGTAAAAAATTCATAAGGCTGGGTGTGGTGGCGCATGCCTTTAATCCCAGCACTTGGGAGGCAGAGGCAGGCGGATCTTTGTGAGTTCGAGGCCAGCCTGGTCTACATAGTGAGTTCCAGGACAGCTGGGGCTACAGGGAGACCCTGTCTCAAAAAGACAAAAAAAAAAAAATTCATAAAAAAAAAACCTCAGAGGGCTGGAAAGATGGCTCAGCAATTAAGAGCACTGGCTGCTTTTCCAGAGGACCCAGGTTCAGTTCCCAGCATTCACATGGGGGCTAAAAACCATCCATAATTCCAGTTCTAGGGAATCTGATGCCCTCTTCCGGCCTCTGTGGGCATTGTATGTTCAAATGCAGTTACATACGCAGGCAAAACATTCATATACATAGAATAAAAGTAAAACATTTTAAATTATTTTTAAAAACCTCAGCAGAAATATTTCATCAGAGGAGACTGGTATAACCAGGTGTTGTAGTACGTGCTTGTGATCTAAACATTTATGCTCAAGGAGATGAGGCAGGAGAAAAGCTTTGAGTTAGAGGCTAACCTGGGCTACAGAGCAAGGCCTTGTATCAAAACACCATCCTCTGAAAAAGAGGTGCAATAGTATAGCCTCAGTCTTAAGAACACGGGACCCCTTGAGTGCAAGTCCCATCCTGCACCCCTTCAGCTGCTGTGGGCAAATGACTTCTCTTTGAGCCTCCATTTGCCCATCTCTGAGGACTTTGAGGATTCACCTTTGTGCCATCTGCAGGCCCTGGCACCAAGGAGCTGCCTCAGTAGCTGCTACTGCTGTTGGATCAAATGTTGGCAGTTTTAACCTGTCCTACTGGGTGCCAGACAGGGTGAATCTACTTGTAAAGGAGCCTCATTAAGCCTAGGGGCAGCAGGCAAGGGGATCACTGCCTATAGAAATCTGGGTTCACAGACCTAAGGTAAAGGCCTGGCTGTTTAATGTGCTGTGAGGCATTAGGTTAGTTACTTCATCTCTCTGGGCCTTAGTGACTTCATCTGGGAAGAAATGAGAGGCTTAGCCCAGGGCCTGTGGAGCCAAAGAAATGTAGGAGGACCGTAGTACTGTTCCGAGAAGCCAGCTCCAACTCTTCATTTTTTTTTTTTAATTTTTACAAAAACTTTGAGAATTTCATACATGCATATAAGGTGTTTTGATCAAATCCATGCCCACTCCCTCCCCTCCAACATTCCCCCCTCTGAAGAGGTAACCCTAAAATCTTTTAAGAATTAGATACAAGCTCCCAAATACTTTTTACATTTTTGGCCTTGGAACAGAGTATGTTGCAAACAGGCCCAAGGACATTTTGACCTTTAGCCAAGAAACTGGCTGCATTTCCTTGGGGTCTTTTTCCCTAACTGCCTAGCCAATTCCTACCTCCTATTCTTATCACGCCATGTTCTGAAGGGGTTACCCAAATTGCCAAAAGGGAATAGGGACGCGCACCGCTCTGGCTTCTTCCATGCTGAACAGGGACTCAGGGTGAGGCAATTGGAGTACCCCTTTAGTGGGTCTATCTAAAAGACTCCCAAATTGTGAAACTTTTGTCTCTAAGGGGTGAAGAACTCTTCTTATGGTCCACACTATCCTGCCCTAATCTGCTGGGGCCACTGCAGTAGGGCTCCTGGTCGAGACCTGCTTTCCCCTCTCAAAGCTCTCAGCTGAGTTCTAGTCCTGACTGGTCTCAATGCCCTGTTTCTTCAGGTCACACTTCACAACTAGAGATTCCTTCTATATTGCCCAACTTTACAGCAGAGCAACTGGCCCAGAGAAGGCAAGGTGCTCCCTCAGGTGCACACAGCACATTGATTTCCTAGACAGAAGCAGGTCTCTCTCGCTTCCTCTTCTGAGAAGCAGATGAAAAGTTTCTAGTGTGTTCTGGGGCCAGTAAATACCAGGAATGCCATGTCTGCTCCGGTCACCATTCATGACCCACGCACCCCCCTCAGTGGATTCCCCCTCCTGTGGGTGTTATGCAGGACTTGGGGTTACAGAGTCCACAATAAAGCACAGTCTCACACACAGTCAAGCCCACAGGGGGAAAGTCCTCATTCCCCGATCCTGCGTGACCTGAGGGTCACGCTTCTTCCTACGGATCTCAACTTCAGTGTCCTTGTTATGCAGTTATTCATGGTTGGAGTACTTTATAGGTTACTTTTGGCTTTATTTTGGGTGCTGAGAATTGAACCCAGAGCTTCGGGCATGCTAGGCATGGGCTTTATCTACCCTTGGGCTACCATCTCTTGCCTTGTTCTGCTTGGTCCCTTCAGTCAGTCGTGTCTTTAGAATATGGCTATTGGAGGCGGGCACTTTGGCTTCTGCTTTTAATCTCAGAACTTGGGTGGATGAGGTAGGATTGCCTCGAGTTCAGAATTCAAGGTCAGCCCAGGCTGGAAAGAAACCATCTCAAATTGGGGTAAAGTGAGGGTACTGGTGTGGTGATGACACCATTAATCTCAGCACTCAGGCAGAGGCAGAGGCAAAGGCAGGCAAATCTCTGAGTTCAAGGCCAGCCTGATCTACATGGTGAGTTCCAGGTCAGCCTAGCCCAAACAGTGAACTTCAGGTTCAATGAAAGATCCTGTAAAAAAAAAAAAAAAAAAAAAAAGGTAGGAAGGCTGGGATTGTAATTCAGTTGAGAGAGTGCTTGCGTAGCACGCACAAAGCTCTGGGTTCAATCCCCAGCACCGTATACAGGCCATGCCTGTAACCCCAGCACGTGGGAGGTGGAGACAGGAGGACCATGAGTTCAAGGTTATCCTCAGCTACACTGCCTATTATAAAGGCCAACCTGGGCTACACGAGACTCTGTCTCAGAAAAGCAGTGAGGGAGAGAAAGAGAGAGAGACAGAGACAGACAGAGAGAGAGAACCCCTATCTCTGGGCACTCCAAGTCCTGTCCTCCAAATGCCCCGCCCCCAGATTCTGGCCCCGCCCCACTCCCTCTTCCAGCCCCGCCCCTCACCCCTCTTCGGGACTCAAACCCCTGGGGAGCGAGCGGGTGGGCCGAGCTGTTAACCGCACCGACCGCGGGTCCGACGGAGCGCGATGGCGAGCTCTGGGAGAACTGTAACCCTGGAGCGACATGGCGACCCCTCGCCGCCCCCCACAGGAGCTGAAGCGAGCGGAGCTGGTGGAAATCATCGTGGAGACCGAGGCGCAGACTGGGGTGAGCGGCATCAACGTAGCGGGCGGCGGCAGAGAAGGCATCTTCGTCCGGGAGCTGCGTGAGGACTCCCCGGCAGCCAGAAGCCTCAGCCTGCAGGAAGGTGGGCGGGGTCTTGAGGGGGAAGGGGCGGAGCTTATCCTGGTTGGGGTGGGGCCGACCTGAGGGGTTGGAGTTAGGAATCTGCCTTGGGACCAGGTGGGGCTGAAACTCACTTGGGAAGTTGGGGCTGTTTTCCAGAAGGCGGTGCTAAGGGCCTGGGGCGAGGCTTTCCTTGTTTTTTTTAGTTGTTTTTTTTTTCCTCCTGAAGCTGGGGATTGAACCTAGGGCCTCTCGTATGCTAAGCAATCGCTCTAACCACTGAATTACATCGCGCTCACTTTAGGGGGAACTGAGGTGGAGGAGTTGAGACAGGGTCTCATGGAGCCCAAGCTGGTATTAAACTCACTGGACAGCTGAGGATGACCTTGAACTCCTGATCTTCCTGACTCTGTCTCCCAAGTACTAGGATTATAGGCAAGCACCACCATGCCAGGCTTTCCAGTTCCTTTTAAAATTTTTGATACAAGGTCTCTAAGTTGCCCAGTCTGGCCTTGAACTGCCTTTGTAACCCCAGCTGGCCTTGACCTTCCATCCTTCTGCCCTAGCCTCTCAGGTTTCTGGGATGACAAGACTGCATTACCATGCTCAGCTGACAATTCAGGGCCAGTTCATTGTGCCGGCCTCCCAGATGTCCCATGATCTTTCTGTTTCAGTAGTCTCCTCTTTAAGATGGTAATAATTAGCACTGACATCATGGGGTTATTATGTAGAGTAAATGAGCCAAGATTTGAAAACAGCACACAGCTAAGTGACACACACTAATCACTATGTAAGTGCTAGTTAATGTGTTATTGGGACAGGAGAGAAGGGGTGGAGTTAACTTGGGGTGGAGAGGGAAGCTTAGTTAAGTGAAAGATGTTTTAGAAAACACGGGTGAAGCCAATGTGATTTATTCATGCAACAGTTGTTCTTTTTAATTTACTTATTTATATGTTTATTTTTGTCAGGCTGGGGATGGAGTCCAGGGTCATTAGGCATGCTAGGCAAGTGCTCTATGGCTGAGCCATGATCTCAAGCGCCTCACTGGTAGATTCTAGGCAGATGCTCTACCACCGAACCATGCCCTTAGTCCCTCACTGGGGGATTCTAGGCAGGGGCTCTATATGCCCCCAGCCCCTCACTGTCTCTTGTTGAATGAACTGCTGCATTTATAGCAGATTGACTGTAGGGGGCAGTATTGGGAGCAGGGAGACCAGCAAGGTGACTGCTTTGATTATCCACTAAGAGAAGATGGTGCTCAGGACTAAGATGGGTTGTTGGACATGGAGAAGGATTTTGGAAATTCAGGTACTGGAAATGATGGAGAGGAGAGGTATCATTTTTCTTCGCTGTAACTGCAGCTCAGTAGTAGAGTGCTCTGCGACTAGCATTTATAAGGCTCTAGGTTCAGTCCCTTTACTGGTAAAATAAAAGCTCTTAGAAATTAAAAAAAATTGTGTGTGTGTGTGTGTGTGTGTGTGTGTGTGTGTGTATAGGTCAAGTTTTGGGATTCAATTCTCTCCTTCCATTGTGTGGGGACCAAGGATTGAATTCAGATTGTCAGGTTTAGCAGCAAGTGCCTTTACCCACTAACCCATCTTACCAGCTATGGTAAGATGATCTAAGCATGGAGGAGTTGCCAGTACTGCAAATGGGGAACACAGAAGCTGGTTGGTACTTGTTTGGAGAAAGACCAGGAATGCTGTTTGTTTTTTTTTTCTGGGGGGGAGGTTGTTTTATTTGAGACTGAGTTTCCCAGTGCAGCCCAGGCTAGCCTGCAACTGGAGATCCTTCTGTCCCAGCTTCCTAAGTGTTGGGATAACAGATGTATATCACCAGACCTGGCAAGTTTGGCTGTCTTAAATGAGAGCTGTCACTTGTATATCCAGCTGGAGGTGTGGAGGACAGTTGGATACACAAGCTACCTTTCATATCTGTAGATACTGAATCTGAGGATTCAGCCAAGCAAAGACCAAAAATATTCAGAAAAAAAAGGAGCCTGTGCTGAACATGTCCAGACCTTTTTCTTAACATTATTCCCTAAATAACACAGAACAACTCACCCAGCGTTTACATTGTATTAAGTTCTATGATCTAGTCAACTTGTGATACAAACCTGCCTATAATCCCAGTTACTCGGCAGGCTAAGGCAGGAAGATTAAAAGTTCAAGTTCTGCCTGGGGAACTTAATGAAATTTTTGTCTCAAAAATAAAAAGGGGCTGGAGAGATGGCTCAATGGTTAAGAGCACAGACTGCTCTTGCAGAGGACCTAGGTTCAAATCCCAGCACCCACATGGCAGCTAACAACCGTCTGTAGCTCCAGTTTGAGGGGATCTGACACCCTCTGCTAACCTCCATGGGCACTGCACGACATGGGTATATTTACACACATGCAGGCAATACACTCATACACATAAAATAAAATAAATGGAAAGCTGAGTGTGGTGGCGCACTCCTTTAATCCCAGGCAGAGGCAGGCAGAGCTCTCTGAGTTCCAGGCCAGCTGGGGCTATAGGGAGACTATGTCTCAAAAAGACTAAAATAATAATAAAAATAATAATAATAATAATAATAATAATAATAATTAATTAATTAAATAAAATAAAAAGTAAAAAGTAAAAGGAGGACTAGGGATGTAACTCAGTGGTAGAGCCCCTGCCTAGAATCCACCAGTGAGAGGCTGGGATATGGCTCAATGGTAGAGCACCTGCCTAGAATACCCCAGTGAGGGGCTGGGGGCGTGGCTCAGTGGTAGAACAAAATAGTTGGGGCTGGAGAAATGGCTCAGTAGTTGAGAGGCTGGGATATGGCTCAATGGTAGAGCACCTGCCTAGAATACCCCAGTGAGGGGCTGGGGGCGTGGCTCAGTGGTAGAAACAAAATAGTTGGGGCTGGAGAAATGGCTCAGTAGTTAAGAGCTCTTGCAGACCACTCAGGTTCGATTCCCAGCACCCACAGGGCAGCTAACAACCAACCATACTCCAGTTCCAGGGCACCCAATGCCCTCTGCATGATACAGGTGCACTTACACACATGCAGGGAATACACTCATACACATAAAATAAAAATAATATTCTGTTCTCTCAAGGAAATGGTAGACTGGGGTAGGAGAGTGGAGGGGGCCAGGCCTGAGTGGTGGTGGATCAGTTCCTTTCTGAAGGAAGAAGAACTAAAGTCATGGGGCCCTCTGCACTTTGTCTTTGCTTCAGACCTTTGGGATTTCCTGTCTCAAGCCCTGGATTGGGCTTCTGGATTGGGGTTGGGCCTCACTGCAGATTCTGAGGAAGGGGGCGGAACCAAGTGTGGGTGGAGTCAAAAGTTGCTCACGATGGGCCCACCTCCATCACACCTGCAGGGGACCAGCTGCTGAGCGCCCGAGTGTTCTTTGAAAACTTCAAGTACGAGGATGCACTACGCCTGCTGCAATGTGCGGAGCCTTACAAGGTCTCCTTCTGCCTGAAGCGTACAGTGCCCACCGGGGACCTGGCGCTGCGGCCTGGGACGGTGGCTGGCTACGAGATCAAGGGCCCACGGGCCAAGGTGGCCAAGCTGGTACGCGTCCTTAGCCCGGCCCCGGCCCCGGACTGCCCCAGCGACAGGGTCCCTGCACCGTAAGCCCCACTCCCTGCCACCGTGGGCCAGCCTGGTCTACACAGACCTTGTTCTCTATTTTGTCACTAACCTAACACTAATCCCATCCTCTATCCTTGTGTTCTGTTCCTAAACTCCTCCTGGGAAGGGATGCCTCTGCCCAGACCACTGCTCTTACCCATCCCCACAGTGCAGCCCAGGTTCACTTGCTGCCCTGGGGTCCTGTAAGGCCAGATTCTAGCCCAAGGGCTGCTCAGTTACTGAGTAACTCAAGGGTTTTTTTTTTCTCCCTCGGCCTCAGTTTCCTCATCTCTATAATGAGGATGGTGGGGAAATTCCTGAATAAAGGCCTAGAATTCTTGGGTCCCTGTTCTTATACACTCTCCACTCACTGTGAGATTTCACATGACTGTCATTGCCTTCCTGGGGTAAAGTGACAGGCAGGAAGAGGGGATGGTGTTTGGGAGGGGGAGAGGCAAATTCTTCCTACTCAGTACATCCCCAGCCAGGTATAAATACTGAGTGGGGCTCTTCCTGTTTACTCCCGGCCTCCCACTGTCCCACAGTCTCCTGCCTCTCTCCTCTCTCCCTAGAACATCCAGAGTTTGTCCCCTGTGAAGAAGAAGAAGATGGTGTTGCCTGGGGCCCTGGGGACCCCTGCTGATTTGGCCCCTGTTGACGTCGAGTTCTCCCTTCCCAAGTTCTCCCGTCTGCGTCGGGGTCCCAAAGCCGAGGCTGCTAAGGGGCCTGTCCCAGCTGCCCCTGCCCGTCGGCGCCTCCAGCTGCCTCGGCTCCGAGTCCGTGAAGTAGCCGAAGAGGCCCAGGTAGCCCGAATGGCTGCTGCCGCTCCTCCCTCAAGGAAGGCCAAAGTGGATGCCGAGGCAGCCACAGGAGCTCGGTTCACAGCCCCTCAGGTAGAGCTGGTTGGGCCTCGGCTGCCAATTGCTGAGGTGGGTGTCCCTCAAATCTCAGCTCCCAAGGGGACCCCGTCAGCAGAGGCAGCCAGCGGCTTCGCCCTCCACCTGCCACCTCTTGGGATAGGAGCCCCAGCTGCACCAGCGGTGGAGCCCCCAGCCGTAGGGATCCAAGTTCCCCAAGTGGAGCTGCCTAGCCTTCCCTCTCTACCTACTCTTCCCACACTTCCATGCCTGGAGACCCAGGAAGGGGCTGGGGTGGTGAAAGTCCCCACTCTTGATGTGGCAGCACCTTCTGTAGGAGTGGACCTGGCTTTGCCAGGTGCAGAGGTGGAGGTCCTGGGAGAGGGGCCTGAGGTGGCCCTGAAGATGCCCCGCCTCAGTTTCCCCCGATTTGGGACTCGAGGAAAGGAAGCTGTTGAGGCTAAGGTGGTCAAAAGAAGCCCTGAGACCAAGGCAAAGGGTCCCAGACTTAGAATGCCCACCTTTGGGCTCTCTCTCCTGGAGCCCCGGCCCTCTGGCCCTGAAGCTGTTACAGAGAGTAAGCTGAAGTTACCCACCCTCAAGATGCCCTCCTTTGGCATTGGTGTGGCCGCGCCTGAGGTCAAGGTACCCAAAGGGCCTGAAGTGAAGCTCCCGAAGGTCCCTGATGTCAAAATCCCCAAGGTGCCTGAGGCAGCCCTTCCAGATGTGCAACTTCCTGAGGTTCAGCTTCCCAAAGTGTCAGAGATGAAACTTCCCAAGGTGCCGGAGATGGCTGTCCCTGATGTTCGACTTCTAGAAGTGCAGCTGCCCAAAGTCCCCGAGATGAAATGCCCAAAGATGCCGGAGGTGGCTGTGCCTGATGTGCATCTCCCGGATGTACAGCTCCCGAAAGTTCCAGAAATGAAGCTCCCCGAGATGAAACTCCCAAAGGTGCCAGAGATGGCAGTGCCTGATGTGCATCTCCCGGATGTACAGCTCCCGAAAGTTCCAGAAATGAAGCTCCCCGAGATGAAACTCCCAAAGGTGCCGGAGATGGCAGTGCCTGATGTGCATCTCCCGGATGTACAGCTCCCGAAAGTTCCAGAAATGAAGCTCCCCGAGATGAAACTCCCAAAGATGCCGGAGATGGCTGTGCCTGAAGTTCGACTCCCAGAAGTGCATTTGCCCAAAGTTTCGGAGCTGAAACTTCCCAAGATGCCAGAGATGGTCGTTCCTGATGTTCGACTCCCAGAAGTGCATTTGCCCAAAGTGTCAGAGATCAAAGTCCCTGACATGAAACTTCCAGAAATAAAACTCCCCAAAGTGCCCGAGATGGCTGTGCCCGACGTCCACCTTCCAGAGCTGCAGCTGCCCAAAGTGTCTGAGATTCGGCTGCCAGAAATGCAAGCACCACAGGTCCCGGAAGTGCACCTTCCCAAGGCGTCGGAGATGAAGTTGCCCAAGGTTCCCGAGGTGCAGATAAAAACTGCTGGAGTAGAGCAGGCAGAAGGGACAGAATTTAGTTTCAAGTTGCCTAAGATGACCATTCCCAAGTTGGGTAAGGTGGGCAAGCCAGGTGAGGCAGGTGCTGAGGTTCCTGGGAAACTCATGACACTTCCCTGTCTGCAGCCAGAGGTAGGCACTGAGGTGGCTCGAGTAGGTGTCCCCACCCTCACTCTGCCCTCTGTGGAGCTAGACCTGCCTGGGGCTCTGGGCCTTGAGGGGCAGGCCCAAGCAGCCCTCTCAGGCAAGGTAGAGAAGCCAGAGGGCTCTAGGGTGACAATAGGTGTGGGCGAGGTAGGCTTCCGGGTGCCCTCTGTGGAAATTGCCACTCCACAGCTACCCACGGTGGAAATTGAAAAGGAACAGCTAGAGATGATGGAGATGAAAGTTAAGCCCTCATCTTCCAAGTTCTCCTTACCCAAATTTGGACTCTCAGGGCCCAAAGTGGCCAAGGCGGAGGCAGAGGGGGCTGTGCGTGCCACCAAGCTGAAGATGTCCAAGTTTGCCATCTCACTTCCAAAAACTCGAGCAGGGATGGAGGCAGAAGCCAAAGGGCCTGGGGAGGCAGGCCTGCTGCCTGCCCTTGACCTGTCCATCCCACAGCTCAGCCTGGATGCCCATCTGCTCCCAGGCAAGGTGGAGGTGGTGGGGGCTGATGGCAAAATTAAAGGGCCCAAGTTTGGCCTGCCTAAGTTTGGGGTGAAAGGCAGGGACCCTGAGACTGGAGCACTAGTGGCAGGGGAGGCTGAGCTGGAGGGAAAGGGTTGGGGCTGGGATGGGAAGGTAAGGATGCCCAAGCTCAAGATGCCATCTTTTGGCCTGGCCCGAGGAAAGGAAGTGGAAGTTCAGAGTGGGCGTGTGAGCCCTGGGGAAAAAATGGAGGCCATAGCTAGACAGCTTAAGATCCCTGAAGTGGAGTTGGTCACACCAGGAGCTCAGGAGACAGAAGAGGCCACCAGCGGAGTGAAGCCGGCAGGCCTGCAGGTGTCCACCACTAGGCAGGTGGCCACAGAGGGTCAGGAGGGGGTGCTAAAGGTGCCTGCATTGGGCATCTCAGTGCCCCAGGTGGAACTGGCCAGCTTTGGGGACGTGGGCATTGAGATCACAGTTCCTTCTGGCCAGGGCACAGCAGGCTCCAGGGTCCAGGTGCCACAAGTGACCCTGGAACTGCCTGGAACACGGGCAAGTGATGACCTGTTAGTGGGTGAGGGTGTCTTCAAGATGCCCACAGTGACGGTTCCACAGCTAGAGCTGGATCTGGGGCTGAACCATGAGGCACAGGCTGGTGAGACTGCCAAGGGTGAGAGCGGGTTGAAACTGAAGTTGCCCACACTAGGGACGGGAGCCAGAGGAGAGGGCCCTGGGGCTGAACACACCTTCCACCTCTCACTGCCGGATGTGGAGCTCTCATCACCTGTGAGCAGCCATGCCGAGTACCAGGTGGTTGAGGGTGATGGGGATGCCGGACACAAACTCAAGGTTCGGCTGCCCAGGTTTGGTCTAGTGAGGACCAAGGAGGGAGCAGAGGATGGAGAGAAGGCCAAGAGTCCAAAGCTCAGGCTGCCCCGAGTAGGCTTCAGCCACAATGAGTCAGTTCCTGGAGAAACCTCCCCGAGCCCTGAGGAGGAGGGGGGCAGTGGGGAAGGGGCCTTGGGTCGCCGGGGCCGGGTCAGAGTCCGCTTGCCTCGTGTAGGCCTGGCTGCTCCTTCTAAAATCTCTAAGGGACAGGAGGGTGAAACAACTTCCAAGTCCCCAGTTGGAGAGAAGTCACCCAAATTCCGATTTCCCAGAGTGTCGCTAAGCCCTAAGGCAAGGAGTGGAAGTAGGGACTCAGAAGAAGGTGGATTCCGGGTCCGGTTGCCCAGTGTGGGGTTTTCAGAGACAGGGACTCCAGGTGCCACCAGGATAGAGAGCACCCAAGCTGCTGCCATCTGAATCCCTGGGCAGATGGGAACTCTCCTCTTGTCTTCCCATCCCCAAGTCCAAACCCCCCAATTTGTTTGTGGCATAACTATCACTAATCTTCAGATGGCTGAAGGCGGGTAACTGACTGGCAGGGGCTGGGGGCCTGTGCCATCTTCCTGGCAGAAGTACCTGTATATCATACCAAGTCATGTGAATAAAATAATCCACAAGTTACCATGTATCCTGGCTCCTCTGTGTGTATATCTGTGCCTGTGTGTATTAGTGTTTTGCGATAA